TGGGGAGAGAGGTTGAACAAGTTGAAGAGGGGAATAGAGAAAGAAGAATACGAGGGAGAGAAGGAGGACTTAGAAGGCGAAAAGAAAAAGCTGGAAGGGAGGAGAGATAAATGGGAAGTGTTGTATCAAGAAGTGTTACGTGGAGAGAAAGATAATGAACAAATTGCGTAAAAAATATACAAAAATTTTACCTTCCGTTCATTCCATTTCGTTTATTATTTCTTTGAGTGACATTAAACTGACTTGTGCCTTTTATTATTCCATTCCTAATACTCCAACATTTTATATTTTTATTAGGTGAAGGTAAGCATTGTTGTGAATATTGTAGAAATATGTCTTTTTTTTTTTTTTTATTCTCTTGATTTTTTTATAACCCTTTTTCGTAAAAGGCTCTCAATATAATATTGCTACTCCTGAATCTATTTTGTCCTGGATTCAAAAATATAGAAGACCAACTAATAATGTTCCACCGAAGGTAAATTAATGCATGTCGTTATTGATATATTTACTTAACATATTTTTGTAATTTTATTATTCCAGCTTATATCCACATATGGAAAAGATTTCAAGTTTCTTTGCCGTAAAGAAACAAAGGAACGACTTTGGAATGGAACTTTGGATAAGAATGGTGTTAAAAAACGTTACTATGCATTGCTGAACAATATTAAAGACCGTAATTTCCATCCAATTCCATTTATTGCAGCAAGACCCGGTACTGGAAAAACTCGAGTATTGGAAGAAAGTTTGAATATGTTGCAACAATGCGCAGAAAATGATAGTGATTCTGATTTGAAAAAACTGGTAAATAATGCTGTGTTGATTAATGTTACCTATGGGAATGGTAGTGCTGCCTCTATAACAGACAGTAATATTGGTGGTGAAATAAGTTTGCCATTACGGATTCTCTATCGATACTTTGTGGAAGGAGTTCCTGATTTAGAATTTGTCACTTTGTTGATATTATAAGAAAATCCTTTCCCAACATTTCTGACTTCAATCTAACAATAGTTCTCAGTACCATCACATTAGATATTAACAAAGAAAAGGTCATGATTATCAACTGTATAGATGAAGTTAACAATTTATATGAATTAGAAAATTCAACTTTTGAGACTATGGTAAAAGCTGTTGGTTCATCATGTTGTGTATATGGTTCAATTTTTATGTACCTTTACTTTCTGGAACAATTTACAAACCCTTGCATAATATTGTCACAAAGTCTATGCATCCTCCTTTACCTATTCCTCTTCCGCTATCGGGGATGGACCACATGCTAGAAATTGGACGAAGTTTGCAGTTTCCAGTTTACACAAACCATCATTTTCATCGATGTCTTGGTGATGTTGGTGGTCATTGTCGAACATTGGAATTCTTTTATCAGCGATGCTCTAATTACATTGTCAACACTATTGATTTTCTACAGGTTATGACTGATGTTCATGTATTATTAAAGGAACGTTATGCATTTGAGGAATTTGCTCAAGATAATTCTGATATTATTGCTGGTTGCTTGCTAGATGAGGTAATGATTCTTTATGAGAGAATAAAAGAATTAAGACAATATGGAATTGTAATTTTAGAGGAGAATCATAGCAATGGAATGGTATATTTACGTTTGCCATATACAGTGGCGGTCAAAAGTATTGCATCACCCGAACACAAATTTTAAAATTGCAATTTTTTGACAATTAAGGCGG